TTGAAAGGTTCAATAGATATTGTGAAAAGGATAATAAACTGCTCAAATAGGAAGGAGCCGGTTCCCAGTACTGGAGAAAAACAAAACAACAACAACAACAAAAAAACAAATAGGAAGGAGCAACTGGGATGAATGAAAGGAGAGGAAAAAGAAAGAAAAAAGAGGAAAAAAGTACATATTTATGTACACAGGATAGCTAGGATAATTGTACTACTAATATTTATTGGTTTATTGAAAGGAATTTTTATTGTGTAATTATTTGATCAATTTTGCATGCCTATATGTGCAGCCATTTTGAAGGTAACATTATGTTATATAAAAACCATTGTTAATGTCTTATCTTGTTGTTTTGAAATTCTGTATCATTTTTATTTTTCTCTATGCTGTTTTGCTTAAGTATTTATTCATGTTTTCTTGTTTTTTCTTTTATCTTTAAAATGAAAAACAAAATTTGCATGTATGTACAAGGATAGCTGGCATAGGAATATTGCTGATATCTGTGATTTATTGAAAGGAACAGTCAATGCTTAATAGTTTTCTTTTTTCTTGACCAATTATGCAAGCTTGAATCTGATAATCATATCGACTGATCTGAAAACAACAATGTGCAGTATAAGAACTTTGCTGAATTCCTACCATCTTGTATGATGAAGCTCTGCATCATTTTCAGTTTTTTTTTTGTTACTTGTTACGGTCTTTGATTGTTTGATTAATCTTACATTCTTATGTCTGGTGGACCGAGCAACTTCGTTGAAGATAACAATGTGTAATATACAAACCAATGTTAATTCCTATCATTTTGTTTTGAGGTCGTGTATCCTTTTCGTTGTTTTTGTGTTGTTTTGATTTTGTCTTCATTGTTGTTTTGTTAGTTTTTTCAATCTTTCAAATAAAAAAATAAAATTTAGATTCTCCATTAGTGTCTCACTAGGCTCAAATCAAAGTGTTAAAGAAGACTGGGGTTCTATCTTGAAAACCAAGGGTCTTCTTCCAAATTCACCTACTTGCAGAATCCATTTCACTGCCATGCAGGATTGAAGATTATGTCTTCTTACCCTCTGTAGGTTGGGAGCCATTCTTAGTTCTTAAAGCCCAACTGCGTTCTTTCATTCTTTATTATACTGCATGCTTTACTCTAATTAAATTCAGTAGTGGCATATTGAATTCTCCTCATGTTTTGAATATCTCTGAATTCCTCCTCTGCAACCAGCTAGAGAAAAAATTCTGCTTTCAAAGGATTTATCCGATTTGGCCATGGCTGCTTATACAATTAAGCCATGGCTGCTCATACAATCACTCTATTAAAGTCAGCTGATTTGGACTTTAATTACACCTGCAAAGCCCTTTCGCAGCATTATTTAGATCGGTGTGTGACTTGCAGAACTCAGAAAAAGCAAGGGTACTTGAAAGGCTAAAACTCCTAAGCATGGCATCACAGAATCCTACCTATCAAAATGGTGCTGCTCCATGCAACAGAAGTCTTAACAAAGTATGCAGAGCAATAGTTTTCATGTTTGGCCATCAGGCGATCGTGGACAGTGGTTGCTATGAGATGGGAAACAAAGAAGAGGAATCCTACAGTTGCTACAATTAGTGCATGGAGAGAATTTCCCAGCTATAACACAGGAAAAAGAACCTAGTTAAGAGCCCAACTGTCTCTTTGAGTTGAGTCTCTGAGGCCAAAGACAGAACTCCAGCAAACACAGACTGGAGACAGAAAGAGAACTCTAAAACCTGCAAAGTCAAAGTACCTCTCAGGTCTTTAATTGCGCACTTAGCAGCATTTGGATGCATGAAACTTAACCACGGCCAGAAATAAAATCACTCAGAAAACAAGTTGGATGGACTGAGAGGATTACACATAGCTGGAGATAGTTCCTGTTCCTACCAGATACGGTACATTGGAAAATGACGTAATTCATGGGTGGTGAGATACAACACTTGGAGTTACATTGTCTCAATAGTGGGCTAATAGTACCCCTTGATTCTCCCTACAGTACAAAGCTTAAAAGCATGAAAAAACCAAACTGTTACAAGTAATTTTACTGCTACCCAGAACAAATCCAAGGATGTTAACAAGAGTTCAAAAGTACGCAACATGTGAAAAATGTAAAAATTTATAATCTCTGATATTTAATAAAAATTGGCCAGGAAAGCATGAGAAAAATGTTATTTATAATTTAGACAATCATAAGTCAATAGAAGCGTGTCATCAGAAGTGGCACTGATAAAATTATAGGTGAGGCTATGAAAATAGTTATTGTTGCTGTATTACAGACGCTCAATGTAAAGGAAAAGTGATGAAGCTATAAAAAAGACTAGAATTACTTTCCCAGAGATATAAATGAAAATGTCTATGATGAGAAATGCATTGAAGAGATAGAATTAATAGCTGATTAGAGTACAGAAGAACAGATTAGTGAACTTACAGACCAAGAAATAGAAATTATCAAAAAATTGAAAACAGAAAAAAGACTGAAATTGCATAATGCATTAATGAGTATAAAGTAGAATTTAATTGGATTTTTATGTTAGCATTAACACCTTAAAATTTTATAGCATTTTAAAATGACATAAACATAAATTGTTAGAGATAAATTGCAAAAGATGTGTTAAACTTATATACTGAAAATTTCAAAACTTTGTGAAGATAAATCAAACAAAATCTAAATAAAAGTGATATTTGGATTCAAATACCCAATATTAAAATGTCATTCCTCCCCAAATTAAAATCCCAGCTAGCATATATTTTATTTTTTCTCAATTAAAAATTGACAATCTTCTTGTGAAATCCATATGAAATTTTAAGGTTCTTGCATAACCAAATTTGATATTGGAAAAAAATGAAAGGGTTTATACTAATTGATTTCAAATCTTAAAGTTATAGTAATCAAGACAGTATGGTATTTACTTAAAAAGATAAATGTATCAGTCAGATAAAACAGATGGCACAGAATTAGAATCATACATTGAATTTTGATGAAAGAGCAAAGGCAATTTAATAATAAAGGATTGCCTTGTCAATAACTCATACCCAGAACAATTGGACACCCATCTGTAAAAATATAAAGTTAAATCTATGCTTCTTGGCACATACAGAAATAAAACTCAAATGAGTTACAGAACTAAATGTAACTGGCAAAACTGTAAATATTTTATAAGAAAATCTGAGAGGAAAAATATTTATAATCTTTAGTTAAACACAGATTTGGTAAATATAACACCAAAATTATGAACCATTAAAGAATAAGTGAATAAACTGAGCTTCATCAAAATTTAAAACTTATGACCTTTGTAGACCACTTATAAAGAAATGAAAAGACAGGCTACACACTGATTAGCACACATTGGATAGAAACTAGTATCTCTTATATATGTTATATACATAGTACATATGTGCGGGTATATATGTGTAAATATATACAGAATTTGCCAAAAATGTATACACATTTCAGGAAAGGAAAAACTTGCATTAAGAATTTAATACTAAATTTATTGAGACATTGTAAGATTAATACAAGCTATTGTCGGTTTCTACAATTACAAGAGGTCTCAAATGGCGGCTATGAGCTTCCAGGCTTTTATTCATTCTTTTTCTAATGTGTGCATACATTTTTTTGGCAGTATCTCTCTTCCTCTCTCTCTCTCTCTCATCTCTCTTTCTTTCTCTCTCTCTTTCTTTCTCTGTCTCTCTCTCTTTCTCTCTCAACTCAATGTACTAAATTTTGTCTTTATAATAAAATGTCTGGATCAAGCAAATTATGAAGAAGAGTTTATTAAGATTACAATTTGGAGGCTGATAATCTGAACAGCATTTACAGGGTCTGATGAGGGTTCCAGAGCCACATCTTGGTATGGGAAGTATGAGAACAACTAAGTGACCAGATTAATGTTTTCATAACAACCCACTCTTGTGAGAACTCATTCCAGAAGACTAGGACTCCTTTTCTGAGGACATCACCCTCAGTGACCTAAAAAGACCTACCACTAGGCCATGCCTCTTGAAGACCTCACCTCTGTGGCCACAATGAAGACCAAGCTCCCTTGGGAGACAAACTATAACCGAATATTCTCATAAGTGAAATAAATAGGACCCACATGTGTAAACATTGTATTGTCTCCCTAGTGTAAGAACATGGAAGAATAAATAAAACCCAAAATGTACAATAGATGATATGAAAGGGAAAGAAATTACTCAAAAGAAACAACAACTGGGATGAGGGAACGAAGAAAAAAAGTACTAAGGCATTTTGTGTGTGTGTGTGTGTGTGTGTGTGTGTGCATATATATGTGGATAGCTGGTGTAACTGTAATGCTGATGTCTGGTGGTTTATTGAGGGGAACAGTTAATGCTTACGTTTTTAAAAATATATTTTGTCCAATTTTGCATGCTTATATCTGGAAATCTGAGCAACTTAGGTGAAGACAACAATTTGCAGTATAACAACCATTGGTGAATTCCCATAATCCTGTCTAGTAAAACTATGTATTGTCTTTAATGTTCTTTTAAATTATTATTTTCTTATTCCTTTTAATGGTTTGATCAATCTTCCATTCTTACATCTGGTAATCTGAGGAACTTCACTGAAGATAACAATATGTAATATAACAACTGCTGTTAATTCCTATCATTTGGTTTGAAACCCTGTATCATTTTTAATGTCTTTGCTTTGTTTTGTTTGTATTTTGGTATTGTTCTTTTTTTTAACTATTCTCTTTAAAATAAAAAAAAAATAAGGAAACAAGCCATGAAATGCTTGAGCCAACCCTTCACTAGAGATGATATATGAATAGTATGACAGGTAGAATAATAGCTTCCCAAAGATACATGTTTCCTAAATTCCAGCATCCTTGAATGTGATACCTATGTTTCAAGGTGAGGTTAACATAACAGGAGCAGGTAAGTTTGCTAATCAGCTGATGTAAAAATAGACAGATTAGCCTGCATTTTCCAGGAGAGATCAACATATTGTTTTTTTTTTTTTTTTTTTTTTTTTTAGTATATGAAAGGACAGAAGGTCAGTGTCATAGGAATGCAATTCAACGATGACTTGTCTGGACATAAGTGGCTGTGAAGGTGGAGGAGATACCATGAACTAAGCAAGGTAGGCAGTGCCCAAAGGCTGGGAAACACAAGAAAGCAGTCACTTCTTAAGCCTCCAGAAAGCAACACTACCCTGCATGTGACTCAATTTTAGCTAAGTAATATCCCCTAAGGCTTCCGAAGTATAATATAAATTCATGTTGTTTTAAATTCCAAAAACATGGACAGGTGTTAAAGTAGCAATAGGAAACTATACAGATGGCAGGTAAGTCCATGTCGAGTGGCCCACTGTCCTCAATCATTCCACAAATATAAAATAAACCCAGACAAACTCAAACTAAGCCCATTACCTTAGTTATAGAATGGCTAGAATTAAAAATGCTGATCAGATTGTGTTTTGATTGCATCATATTTTGAAAGAGGAAAAAAAGCTCTCAAGCGCCACTTGTGGAGGTACAGAATTATACTTACCACATAAACAAGGGTAGCATCTTAACGATTTAATAACACAATTATCATATGACCTATCTGTTCAAATCCTTGACATGTACCTGTGTGAAATGAAAGCCTGCCTGCACCAAAACTGGTACAGAAATGCTCGTACCTGAATTATTCATATTAGTCCAAAACTGGAAACATTTGAAGTATGCATTTGTTGGTGAATGTACAAACAAAATCTGGTGTGTTTATACATTAAGCCATAAAAGAGATGAAACATTAATAGAGAGTACACATGGATGAACAACATAAACATTGTGAGTGACAGAAGCTAGACTAAAATTAGTACACATTATCCAAGTTTATATTAAATTCTAAAGAATATAAATGAATCTAGAGTGAAAGAGAAAAGACTAGTAGTTTCCTGGAGAAAGCGGTAAGAGTTGATGAGGCAAAGAAAGGGAGAGTAGACAGATTCTTAGGTAGGAGAGGTTGAAGAGCAAGAGATTTCTTTAGAGAGAGCACGGGTTGAGAGCTTGCTTGCATTTATTTTCCCCATTCATACGATAGCAGGGTACTTCAGGGTCAGAGAGGGCGCCTTTGGAAAAAAGCACCCTGTAGACCTGGCTTATGAGCTCCAGAAGCTCAGGTAAGCAGAGTCTAGGGCCTGATCCATGTGTTAGAAAAGACCAGGGCTGGGAGGCTGGCCACCTGCTGTCGGCAGAGCGGGGAGAGAAAGACTTGTATGTGGGAGCTCATTCTAGAGATGCAGTTAACGTGCTGGTTCTGTTGCCCTGACAGGGCCACACAGGAAGCACCTGGCTGTGGCTGGTCCTGAAAGGAAATCTCCTCACACAGAGCTGTGAATGATGGGACATGAACAGCCTGCTGCAGGGAGGACGGTCACAAGTTCAGAAATGTTGTGAGGCTGTTTACAGCCGGTTAGAAAAGGTAACACCCAGTCCAGCAAGCTGAAAACAGCGTGTTTTAACTTCCAGATTACTCCCTTGTGTTAAATGGAACCCACAAGAGCACCCCAAAGAGAAGAAGTCAGCACTGGGCCTTTCCTCATAAACTGCACCCATGTCAGATTGCAGCTCCACCCACCCACGGAACAGTTCCCTCCTCTTCTTTTTCTCTGTGTGCCATAACCCAGAAGAGGAAGTGTCAGAGTCAAGCATGGAGAAGAAAAGTGGAAGACAGGGCAGAAAATATGTGAAGAAGCCAACAACACGTGCTGTGTCCAAAGACTCTAGCTGCTTTCCTTGATCTATAGTTTCCCCTTTTGATGATGAATAATGTAATTTTATAATTATGCAATTCTTAACACAGCACATGGTTGTCCCCAAATACTTCTTGGTTTCTTTGCTGCGCAGAAAGTTCATGTGTTCAAGTTCTGCCTTGAGGAGGCAGTGATGTTATTATGACTTCTGAGCACTGTGCTTACAGATGTGGCAGAACTTTCTCCCTTTCTTGCTCTTCCTGTCAGGAGGAATTTTTTTTTCGGTCAAAGTGCATTGAGGTGGAAGTCAGGCTGAAAATGATAGACAAACTGGCAGGAGCCTGAGTCCCTGATGACCATGTAGAACCACCTTTGGACTCCCGAGCTCTCTTCTTTACGTGACAAGATAAAAACTTGCTTTTCATTTTTGGTCAGGCTGTCCGAACCTACTAAATTACAGTTATGCTTTCTCCCACCATGAGGTAGAATTGAGCTGGAGAGGGAAAAAGATTTATCCCTAAACTTGAATTGCACAGTAGTGAAGCTTTGTACTATACTTGAATGACTTGTTAACATCTATAGAAAGGGATGACTCACTAACATCTCAGAGTGGCCATACGGAGATTCAGCTGAACACATGGGAAAGCAGTGAAGTGAGAGAATAAAGCTGTATCTATTTATTCCCTACGTACGAGGCTCATTCATTCAATGAAATGGCTACATGCTTTTTTTTCTAATTGACAAGCAATACTTTAGCAACTCAGTTTATCATATTAATGAGATATTCTACCTTGAATGGGTCAGAGGAATGTTTAACCATTGTTAATTTTTGCTTAATATGATCTACAATTATTTCCAGCTTTGTCAAAGTATTTGTCCTTCCACAATTTAGGGTATTTTGTAGTAATTTTTTTTATTATGATCGTACATCATACTGTATATATTTACTGTTCTCAAACATATTTTGGAAGGAGCTTGTGTCCTCTTCCCGCATGCTTCCTTTCTTGTTTGGTATCTTGTACAATTATAAGACAGCTTTCCCTTGAGAGTCACTAAGGTTTACAGAGCCCTTGAAGAGCATGCTCTTCATAAGCAGTCGGAGAAGCCTCTCATTACACTTCAGTCCTCCTCAAGGATGATTTCCCTGTCTTTCAGGTGCTCAGATATTCACCTTGGTTGCCCTTGGGAGGGCATGTTCCTTCTGTCACGGGTGGTATCATCCTCTCTTCCATAGCGAAGGCAATGGTATGCCCTGTTTGTAAACTATTTTTCCACCATTCCAAACATACTCGCTGAACTTGGCAGCCCTGTTACTGTGTTTTGGTAACAAATGAACTAAAATACAAATTTAAAAACTTCATTTCGTTTTTGCTTTCCTCTCTTCTTCCATCTTTTTGCAATTACAAGTGTTGCTGCCAGGAGCTTTGTTTATACACAAAAGAATTATGCGTAAGTTTTTATATACTTTTGGAGAAAATGTTAAAAAATAGAGTAACAGTGGATAGCTGCTCGTATTTATTGATTTTTACTACACACAAGGTTATATGCTGAGAGATTGAAATCTGTTTTAAAGTCCACAATGGAGGCCTTTCTATTAACATTTCTACTAAATACATAAAAGAATTGGGGCACAGAGACATTCAGTAAAATGCCCAACATCATGTGGTTATACAACCAGATTTGGAATCTAGACTGTCTTCTTTCAGTGACACTGAGACAAAACTTCTATGAAGATTTATTCTAAAATGTAAGTCTGACCATGTAGCGGTGCCAGTCCAAACCTACCTTACAAAGGTGTTCAGTTTATGACCATAACCTATGCACCTATATGTGCAGTCCTTGTCAAACTTGCCTCTCCCTTCTCTCTCTCTATCTCTCCCCCTCCCTCCCTCCATTTCTCCCTCTCTCTCTAGCTTTACAACAGGAAAATGTAGAACACTTACTCCTCGGGCCAGGCTGTGTTCTGTGCACCCATACTTTAACTTGTGAGGTTCCGTTCATGCTCTTGTAGACATTATAATCACTCCGTAAAACTTCACCCATGAAGAATTTTTTTCCAGCCTTCACCAACATCAGTATTATGCTCTCTAGAATTGGGTAGGACTGAAAATATAGGACCATCTTTTTGTAAAAAGGCAGAAGATTTATACGATCTGAAGAGAAACCAGAGTATAGGACCATTTTTTGGAAAAACAAAACAAAACAAAACAAACTACTATGAAGCAGAAAAGTGAAAAGTTAAGGGGATCTCTAGGCCAAAACGTGCAGATAAGGAAAATGATTTTAATATATGAAAATGTTCCAGTAAAGAGGAAGCTAAAGTAGGAAAACTCCTTAATGACGGCAGCTGAGAAAATATGAAGAGATAGAATGGAGGTTAAGAGGGAGAATTTACCTTAGAGAAGTGCCCTTGGAGGAAAGACACTTTTTTAACCTTGGGAAACAAGGAGAGTCAGCATTTGTCAATTGGGAATCTGAGTGTTAAAAGGATTTATCATTTGCTGTGACTAGGCCACTGAGAAACAGTGAGGTCTTGTGGAGTCATATGTAAAAATAATAAATATGAATAAGCTCTTTGGAGAAGTCTCTGTTTACAAAGGAGCATATCACATGGAAAATGTAAGGAGTGAAAAAAAACCCTAAAAGTTTTAAGGAGCAGCATTGATCACATTTCTTTATCACTTAATTAGTAAGGTCTCCTTGATACACCCAGTGGATCTACTGGGCAGAATAAAGCCAATCAAGACTCTGGTAATCTGAGCAACTGATTTGAAGGTAACAATAAGCTATGGAACTACCATCGTGAATTCCTACCATCTTGTCTAGTGAAACTGTATTGTCGCTAATGTTTTATCTAATAATTATTTTCTTATTCTCTCTAATGGTTTGAACAATCTTCCATTCTTACATCTGGTAATCTGAGCAACGTAGTTGAAGATAACAATGTGCAATATAACAACCACTGTTAATTTGTATTATTTTGTCTTGAAACCCTGTTTCACTTTAAATGTTCTTGCTTTGGTTTGTTTATGTTTGTGATGCTGGTATGCTGCTATTGTTCTTTTTTTTCTCATTTATTACTCTCTTTAAAATAAAATTTTTAAACAAAGACTCTGGTGGCTGATCTCTCTGGGGTTGGGTAAGTGTTAGTTGTCTTCGAAAGTACAATTTTTTTCCACTAAATATTGAATTCCTAATCAGATCAGTCCTATTTTTTCCCCATATCTATGGCTTTCACACCTTTGCAAAAAAAAGGAGTCAAGATATTTATAATTTTTATATTATCAAATTTGTGATTAGTTTCTCTCTGAAAATAAACTCTGAAGACACTCTAAAATGACCAACTTTCTTCTTCCTCTTTAGTCCTTAGAATTAATTCCCAGTTTACTTTTCTGCACATGATCAATAAATTTTGGATGGAATGCTTTTCATGAAATCAGTGCTTATTTTTTTCTCACTATTCCTATTTTCTTATAGTAGGTTAACAATGAAGTTTCAGTGATTCTTAGAAGCAGTTCTTTGATTTTCATCTTATTCACCTTGAGCCACTAGAATGTCAGTTCAAAGTACAATTTTCCCCATACTACAGAGTCTGGTCTCTTACTTTGTAATTTAGAGAAGTATTTAGTTGTTTAAATTCCTTCAAACAATGGCTAGTTCTGATATCAAAACATTTCTTTTTGTCACTCTTTGTTTGAGATGACACATTCAAAGTTCCAAAAATATTATGCACAGAGGAATGCTTTCTCCGAGAGAAAGAGAGAGAAAGAGAGAGAGAGAGAGAGAGAGAGAGAGAGAGAGAGAGAGAGAGAGAGAGAGAGAGAGAACTGGGATCTATTACCTTTCAAGTTTTGTTGCCCAGTGCATTCAAATGTTCTAATCACTTCATCTATTCTGTTTTCATATTTGAAAAAACTAAAATACAGTTCTTAATGTTTGTCTCATTGTCGTGCTATACCAAGCATACCTGATGCAAAGATTCTCAGCATTGTGGAATTACAGCAAAATGTTATAGATCTTCATTACTGACTTAGGTACAGTCATTATAGGACTCCAGAGCACTGAATATTTTGGTGCCTATGATTTTTGAAGGTGATTATCTTAGATAATGTTTACTTTCTGTGTGTAGTATGTACAATAAACTGAGTGTTATAGGCAGCTAAATTAGATAGAAATATAGGCAGTTAGACAGGGATAAGCCCTCGAAGGAGCCAGTATGGAAGACAAGGTACTTTGCAACTGTGGGAGAGATAGGCACTTCCACTGTGGGTTAGACCTCAAGATAAAAGATGAAACTAATGCACCCACATACTTCCCTAAGGATGGGGTCTTGGTTACTTTTCTCGTTACCTTGACAAATCATCCAACATCCAAAATTAAGGCAGGAAAGGTTTATTTAGTCCACAGTTTGTGAAGGTTTTAGTCCATACTCAGTTGGCTCCAAGGCAGAGTGGCATGGTATAGGGCAGCAGTTCAAGGTTGCAGAAGACAGCAAAAGCAACAAAAGTCAAGAGGGGGTCAAGCCCATTTTCCTACCTTGTATTGTATATCGGTTATCCACCCATGGCCACACCATCTCCACGCCCTCTGCTTCTACAAACTGAGGATGTTTACAAAGTAAGGACCCTGGCCCCTGATGAATCACTTAGTTGAACTTCTAAACTTCTCAAGTTGACACAATGAACAACATGTTAAGGGCATGTCTTTTTCACTCCAGAACGTAAAACTGCTGAGTTAAGCTTCTAGACTCCTCAATCTGACACAACATACCAGCCATAACAGGTGGACATCAGAGAGTGATATTTTAAATTGGTATCAATCACCTTGAAAAAGCCAGAAAGAGTCACTAACCCAACCATCTTGAGGAAAAACTCCTGTTCTGAGTTTATGCCTGCTTGCTATGTGACTCATTTTCCCATTAAATCACAATTTAATCAATTTTATCTGAGTAGTTGTACTCATAATCTCATTGACTGACCATAGCTTTGCCCCACCTCATGCCCACCTTGTGAGTTCCCATGTTGCCCACCTTAGACCTGCCTCACCTTGTGGATTTGCTCTATAAAAGACCCTACAAAAGATAGGTTCCTGGGCAACCCTCTCAGGTCCCCTTCTGTCTCACTTTCAGACAGAAGCTTTCTTTCCCCCAATAAAGACATTCTACTCTTTACCTCCACTGTCCTTAAAATTCATTCTTTGATTTTGGAGAACATGAACTCATCCCAGATATCTGGCAGGTTGGGAGTTTCTTTCCCCTGTATCACAGGGCTGTCACAAGGCATTACAAATCAATTGGTAAATTGTCAGATTGTATGGCATTGCTTATCACAAGTAGGCTTTTGTTGTTTCATACTCAATATTTGAAATTTACAGGAATTTTATTTTTACAGTATAACATTTATATTTAATATTCTCAGTTGTTTTTCCTGCTTCAGCTTTCTGGTCAGAGAATTAGAGAATTAGAATTTATGTTTCCTATTGATGTATCATATGTTAGCTTCATAAAAATACAAATATTTGATTTAAGAAAGAAATAGATTATTTACTTTCTGGCTAGGGGATTAGCACTCATTGATTGATGGCATGTGAATGATAATGGCATGAATTGGTGACCAGGGTAGTCAAACTCAGCAGGTGCATAGATGCTCACTGAAACCAGATTGTAAAAGCTCAGAGAGACCATGTGATGGGAATGCAAATTTAAATCAAGTCAGAAAGCTTGACTCACTGTTCTTATCTCTTATTTGATTCTTCACTGTTTAATTTCCATAATCTATATTTAATTATTGCTAGTGCTTCTATTATTCATGGACAATAATCACTGGTATAATATTCAGTGATAATCACTCATAGGCTTCCAGGGCATCTTGAACTTTTTGAAGAGAAAAAGCTCTACTGGTATGTCCCAATACTAAAAATTATATGAAATCTCACTCCACATTTAATAGTTCTAGATGACAGATTTTCCATTGTTTTGCATATGACTGTTTATTTTCATAATCTAATAATTTAAAATATATTTATAAAGGATAGCTCATTCATTCAACTGATATAAACTGAGTGCATCTTATATGGAAATTCTGTGCAAGAAGCTAGGGAGTTACAGCAAAGATGGCACAGTGTGGCAAAGTGCGTACAGTCCTGCGGGGAGAGGGAGATGGGAGAGGTGAGGTTAGACAAATGACAGTGCACAGAGGGAAGAGTTAAACAAGGTAAAGAGAAAATGACACAAGTGCTGTTGGAGCCCAGGACAAAGCCATGAACACTCCTTGGTGACAGAGACATTTCTGAGCATTAAATTGGTACACAGAGCAAAAACATGTAATCAACAGGTAAAGATATTTCTGTCTTCTCATTAAATATTTTTCCTATTAAAAATAAGTTACTACAAAATGAAGATAATTCTAGCAGAAGAGTACTAAGAATAAAGGTGGGTGGGTAGATGTTATTTTCTGCTTGGTCAGGGGATTCACAGGCAATGGCAGGCCAGGATGATTAATTCCCTTCCCGGAAGTGTAAAAACACTTAGGAAACCTCTCAGTAGTCTTACTACCATAGCCTTTTTAGGGGGAATTCCTTTTCCTGTGAAAACAAATTTCCTTTCCCTGTCTACTGATGACTGTGTTTTAGTCTTGATAGAGGTGAACATAATAGATAAATCTTTGAGAAACTGTATTTTACTGTCATGAAGGAATACTTTTTCCAAAAAGTTGTCCAGAGACACCTGGTTGGGATATGCTAAGTAGGAATGGCTTCTGAAGTCTCTTTACTTTCTTGTTTGTTTGGTTTGTTTGCTTTTTTCACAGATCGTAAGGCTATTCTAAATGAGCAGGTTGAGGCCTTACCAGATTATGAGAAGCACCAAGTGCTGATTAGCAAAACTTCTAAAAACAGCAACCTAGAAATCCATAGGAGGTGTCCTGTATATGGGAAGTACAGTCTTTCTTTAGCCATATCATCTATGTCTAATAACAGTATCCTTGCTATAATTTCTTAGCTTCTTACCTAACCAAACATGTTCTTTTTCTTTCTACTCCATATACACATCCTACCAGACTGGAAATTCCTAGAGAAGGAATACACTTTTTCATACAGCTCTGGTAGAAACATTCCAGGTAGTTCTCTGAGGGTCAATGGGTTAATAGGACTTCCTGACTCCCGCTCCTGTGGTCTGGGTGGGAACGGCATGGCCAGCTCTCTGTACCCCCATCAGATGGCACAGAATCCCTATAGGAAGAGGAACTTGAGTAATAGGAAAAAAATGTCTCTGTGTGTGTGTGTATTGTTTGAAATGGCAGTGAGTCAAAGGATATAGTTTGAGACCATAAAATCGAGGGGTTTACAATAGTCATCGATGCTACTTTATTTTCTTTTGTTAATGCTATTTTATTGTTTTGATGTTGGTGCATTTTTCATTACTGTAAATGCATTTAAACCAGTGCTTGAAGCAAAAAAATATGTAATCCAACAGAAAAAGGTATTTCTTTCTTCTTATTATGTACTTTATTCTCACCTGTTTGACTAAGAAGTTGGTTTATTTATTTATTTATTTTTAATACAGCACTAATTGTGTGTAGCAAAATAAATTTGTTCCCTTAGTCTGGCAGGCATTAAACCACTCTTCAAAATTCTGTAAGTTTGACTAATTACCTAATGCTTTGAAAACTGTCTCTGAATTATAGAGACCTTTGCTTCAGGTTTTTTCTTTACCTGTCCACTGCTGTCTGCTAATATTAATTAGAGTGTAACCACTAAATTAATATACAGTAAAGGAAAATAAATTAAAATGCATGAAAAAGGTGCAA